TCCTGGAGCTCACTTGGTAGCCCAGGCTGGCCTCGAACTCACAGAGATCCGCCTGCCTCTGCCTCCGGAGTGCTGGGATTAAAGGCGTGCGCCACCAACGCCCGGCCAGCATGAACTTATTTTAATGCTAAAACTTACTAAGGGTTAAGTCTGTGTTGCGTTTTTATAAACACAGGGAGGGAGACTATGAAAAGATAAATCATCTCCAAAAATACCACCATTAAGGGAAAGCATTTTTCTTCCTTTCTTTTCTTTTCTTTCTTTCTTTCTTTCTTTTTTTTTTTTTTTGAGAATTGCTAATTGGTTTTGTTAACACACTCATTGTAGAAGAAAAAGTGGAGGTTTGGGGGACTAGTGGCCTGAAATTATACTTTCTTGTATTGAAAAAGGTTAATTAGGAATTGAGCTCAAAGTTAATTTTTTGAAGGTCAGCTGCTGTGCCACCGGGTCCTGTGACCCTGTCTGAAGCAATCACAGCACTAACATGCAGGTTATGGTTTTCCTTTCACTTGCTGACATAATCTCTTTAATTGGTATCGGAAAGCCGGCCTGTGAAAGAGCCATGGAAAACACCTAGAGACTGTAATTTCACTCTTGCCATTCACAGAGTAAAAAGAAACAAGCCTTAAGAATGTACTAGAGACTCATTACCACCCCTGGGTTGTCAACACAAAGTCCTCATGTTTCAACCAAGAGTTTTAGGAATGATCAGTTCTGCTTAGTTCTAACTTTGCCTGGTGAACTATTAACCTTTTTAGAAAAATCTGGTGAATGCTTCGCGACAGAGACTCTTGTCGAGAAAGCTAAGAGGGTAGATAATGTGGTTTAAGTGATTAAACACAATTGTGAGAAGATAATATTTGCAAAATTATTGTACGTTCTCTGAAAGAGACTCTTCACGTGAGACCCTGGACACCTTGCGTTTCCACGGTGTTGTATGCAACTCTCATTCATAATATCCTGTGGACCACTGGGCAGACTTAGTCTTTCCCCATCAGGTGTTTTTGTTTTGTTTTGTTTTGTTTTGTTTTGTGGGTTTGTTTTTTTGTTGTTG